TGTCTGAGCTGACTTGCGAGATACTTGCAGAGCAGATTCGAGGATAAGGGAGCTTTGTCTCAGAGGACTTGGCCTGCACCAAGCACATCACCGAAGTACAGAAATTCAAGTTCAGTATGCCATTTGCAGTTTTGGAAACAAACTTGAGTAATCTTTGCCAAATCACTTTTCCTGAATTATGAATTATGTTTTTAAAGCTGTGTGTCTCTTGGTAAATATGCATAGACTATGACAACGTGCCCATAACAGCCGTGCGCAGAGCCCCCTTCAGCGGGCTGGGTGGATGGCACCACGCGTGTGTGGTAGAGGGCAGGACACATGGCGGGGTGGGCGGAGTCGTGACAGAGTGATGGCCAAGGCCCCTGACAAGTCTGTTCTCTTCTAGGCTTTCAGAACCGGACCCCAGCCACACCCTGGAAGAGAGAGTGGTCCACTGGTATTTCAAGTTACTTGATAAAAATGCCAGCGGCGACATTGGCAAGAAGGAAATCAAACCTTTCAAGAGGTTCCTGCGGAAAAAATCAAAGCCCAAGAAATGTGTGAAGAAATTTGTGGAGTACTGTGACGTGAATAATGACAAGTCCATCTCGGTTCAAGAATTAATGGGCTGCCTGGGGGTCACCAAGGAAGAGGCCAAAGGCAACACCAGAAAACGCCACAGTAAGAGCTGTTCTGAGTGCTTCACCCTTTCCCATGTATCATCAGAAGGAGCCCTGGTGGCACAGTGGTTAATGCACTCGGCTACCGAGAGGTTGGCGGTTCAGACCCACCAGCCGCTCTGCAGGAGAATGATGAGGTACTCTGCAAAAGGTAGTCGGTCAAGACTGACAGCCTTAGAGACCCTGTGGGGCAGTTCCACTCTATCTTCTGGGGGTGCTGTGAGTCGGAGTGGACTCCATGGTAGTGGGTGTGGTTTGGGCTTTGTTTCCATGAAAACTGACAGGCTGGGAGACCCTGTGGGCAGTTCCACACTGTCCTCTAGGGGCCCTGTGGGTTGGAATGGACTCCAGGGCAGTGGGTGTAGTTTGGGCTTTGCTTCTGTGAAGACTGACAGCC